AGCTGCCCCCCCTGCGCGCGAACGCGCACCCGCGGTTCACGGGATTTGTTCGTATCCCCTATGGGATTCGCCCATAGAGGCTCAGCTGTACAGGAACGAAGGATGGGCAGTTGGGGTCCCCCGAAGGTTCTCTCTCTCTCTCTCTCTCTCTCTCTCTATCTCTCTCTCTCTCTCTCGCTCTCTCTCTCTCTCTCTCTCTCTCCTCTCTTTCTCTATCTCTCTCACTCTCTCTGTAGCACAAGTCTTGTACAGATGCCACTGCAAGAACAACCCCTCACTCAAGATACTCGATAACTACGTTACGGTTGACGTCCTCGCTGAAATCGACTCAACGCTAGAGCATCGAATCGCCCATGTGTTGTGGGGCTGCAAAGGCGTTATCAACGAAGTAACCTTAGTGCCACTACGTAAGGCACAAGTGTTGCGTGGTCGGTCTCACTTTTATTGATGGTCGGGGTGGAGGTGAGTGGTTGCTGAAGAGCTTGCCTTTGTGGCCGTGGTGGGTCGTGTCATCCGGGTCTCTTTCTCAGTCGGGCGGATACCGTGCAAAGGCTTTGTCAGTTGTCGTAGCCAAGCTGGAGGCCACTGCAGTGATTTATTTAGTGACCCTCCAAAGTGTCACAGTGGCAAAGTTCGTGTAGCTGCCCGGCACTCAAAACTTGTAGTCCGGCTGGGCACGGCTAAGGCTTTCCACAGGAAAGGAAGGATACCGCCAAAACCGTCTTCCTAATCCCCTATGTGATGCATTTTTGTATCCTGTGCATGGTTCGTGGTCATCTCCAAGTGGATGTAAGTATCTTGAGCCTAAATTATACCGCTCTCTCTCTCTCTCTCTCTCTCTCTCTCTCTCTTGCTTGCTTGCTTGCTTGCAGGACATTTGGGGCGATGGGGAGGATCCCCACAACCCCCGCACACGGCATCTCTCTCTTCTCTCTCTCTCTCCCTCCCTCCCTCCCTCTCTCGGTCTCTCCATCTCTGTCTCGTGGACAGACAGACAAAACAGGCAGACAGGCAGGCAGACAGGCAGACTCTCTCGCAACTGCACAGACTAATATGTATATACCTCAGTTGTCACTACAGTATACTGCAGGGCGGAGTGTAATGGCTGACGCTCAGATGCGGTGCACTCATTTTTCTGAATCTTGCAGGCTATCCCAAAATGCTTGGCTCGCTGAGCCCATCTCGCGCCAGTGTCTCTTCGAGACATGGTCTTGTGAGCGCGAAGTTCGTTTACAGTGAAGCTTTATGCTTCTTTGGCCCGGCTAGGTCCGCTAGATATGTGCAGAGGTGCAGAGAGATCGTACAGCGAGTGCTCCGGGGGGTTGGCTTCTATGATCCCAGACCCATAAAACTGCAAGAAACTTACTCCTACGAATCGAATCCTAGTTCGGCTGGCAACAACGTGCGAGCGCAGCTTCAACTGCCATTGCGCTAACTGCGCACTTCATTCACAGGCACGCAACGACAGGTGCATTTACAGCTAATGGTTTTCCGACATGCATTTAAAACTGGACTTCGCAATCGACGTCGACGTGTCGGCCTTGGATTCGGATGCGAGCAAACTTGTCTGCGCGGGTCAAGGGAACAGGAACTTGTCCGTGATGTCTCCCGCGCACAACATTGAACGGACTGGTGAGTCCTAGTTCTCTGAGTTTCACGCCTTGGGATAGCCACACGCCACGTGCTCCGCCTACAAATCGATAGGCCTTCAGCTTGGAAAGACCGCGAGGCACGAACTTTTCTGGAGTTGCAGCTTCAAAAACTCATCTGAGACAGAAGCTCGCCATACAGGTCCAGGTCCGACTCTTCATCCAGCGGCAGCGGTACAGCAGAATCATTGAAAGCCTCGAGCGGCTGCGGCAAGCACAAAGCGCACTTCGTGCTTCTTTACAACTCTCGCTTGAAGCAGAGTAAACATCGTGCTGGGCATACACGTGGCTCACGCAACGGCCTCATCGTCAAGGCCGATGTCCACTGTGGACTCTTGCAGAAATCGGGGGCTGAACCTGCGAAGCTCATGGATCCCAGAACAACCCTCAGTCACATCTTGCATGCAAGCGATTAACAGGCGCGGCCCCGACCGTTTCATCAATGAGTCCACGTCCTTCTTGGCCTGGCGACGAGGATTCCCGGCATACTTTGGCATTACTTTGGGCTTCGGACGCAGGCTTCGTCCGAAGAATCATGCCATTACTGATCAGTACATTCCTCGAAGGTTGTGGTGTGCGTAAAGGAAACTTCTGCTTGAGATTCAAATTAACCCACGAGGTTACACCGTAAATTCTACGCTCTTTGGCTTCTCGGATGGTGTCAACTTGCGCTGTCGCCTAGGGTTTCTGCCAGTTCACGGTGTTCAGCTGTGAAATCGTGCTCTCACCTAGGGGTTGTGCATGATTTTTTGAATCTTTCAAAGTCCGGCGTCACGAAAACGTGTCATGCACACCCTTCCTGTTTCTGGGGCTGCTCGGGCGTCTTGGTCTGGTGCTACCGTTCCATGGGGATTCGCATTTCGCAGTGTTTCACCATCGGATGGAAATCGTGCTCCTGCCTCGGGCTTCTTCATTTTCTTGAAGCTTTCAACGTCCGGTGTCGCGATAATTTGGCAGGAGAGTACTTTCCTTCACAGGGCCGAAAACAACAGTGAAAACAACTACTGGTATCACAAGTTCCATGCTTTCGGCTTCGCGCATGGTGTTCCCGTCTAGGTTTGCACTTTTGGCTTCGCGCATGGTGCCGCCGCCTAGCGTTTCGCGCCTCGGGCTTCGTGCATGGTGCTGCCGCGTAGGATTTCGCACTCTTGGCTTGGTGCATGGTTCTTCCGCCGAGGGTTTGAGATCTCACCCCTGAGCATGGGGCTCTCCACCCACGCCATCATGGTGTACTTGTGTTTTGCCGATAAGAAAATAGAAAAGAAGCCAAGTGCTTGTTTTGTGTTCGATTGTCTGAAGGCTGAGGACGCAATCAACATAAACGAGAACAGAACCACCACCAACCACCACAGACGCTTATGGCGCTCAGCTTGTGGAGCCACATCTGGTAGGATTTGCAGTCGGCCTCCTCGCACGAGAAGGCAAGTTCACCATCAACCCTTCGGCTCATCAGGTTTAGGGTCAAGGGTGTAGCGTCGGGTTAGAGGTTCAGTGTCGAAGATGCAAAGAGGGTCTGGGTGCAGTCTGTATGTGCTCTGTCTGGCTGAGTTTGAGGGAGGTTCGTGTTTGAGGAATGCATGGCACAGCACAATAGCTCCCCTTGCACCTCCAGCTCGCTCTTGAGCCGAGCCGACCCATTAATTGACTGGACTGGTACATTTCTCTTCTCAAGCTCTTGCCAAGATACCTGATTCAGGCGTTCTTGGCGTTCGGTCCTCTGGTAAACGCTATCCTAATCTGTCGAGCTGTGACGTGGAAGACGGGTGTCGTGTCAGCTGTCAGCACAACCTCCGGTCGTCTAGCTCTCCCATGGTCGGGACAATAACTACAGCCCTACTTGTGAATGCTCACAGATCGCTGCCTGCCGGCCTGAAGCTAACCCGGATCTGGCCGAACTCTTCAAACGCTTCGATCACACCTTTAGCAAGACCCACAATTGCTCCCAGAATTCCGCCTCTCAGGCCACCCTCAACGTAGCCCAGAGCTGAACACCCCACCGCGTCCAGCGTTGCTTCAAACACGTGGCACCATGTGCTGGCTCCACACTTCGGATTGTCCAAAAGGGATGCCCCAAGGCACAAGGCAAATCCTAACTGGGCCCCTCCTTCAGCACCAGTCTTGGCCCACTCTCGCATGGTAGACTGCACGTTCCTTGCAACCCGCTTGAGAGCATCAGTGGTCTTCAAGGACTTGCTGAACTCATAGCCATGCTTGTCTGTCAAACGAAGAAGCTCGTTCCACACGACAAAATTTGCCTCATCAATCCTCAGGCTGAAGCCATGATCCATCTGCATCGCCATATCTATGTGGTGGACACAGTCTTCGTTGTTGAAGAACTTGGCATTGTTGGAAGCACTTCTGCATCCTGAGCGGTAGTCTACAGCAGAGCATGTGACAAAGAAGCAGAACAACAACAGGGCGTTCATGGCGCGGAATGGCAAAGGTGAAATGCGGCGCTGGGAGTCGTTAAGCCTCGAGCGGCAGCAGCTGCGGCAACTTCAGTACGAAATGGCACAGAACATCCGACAAACAGGCCGCGGAATGTGCTATGCAAATCTCACAGTACTGTAGCACTTTCTTCACTTGCTTTCGGAATCTTCGCCAGAACGCGCCAGTTGAGCAAAGGCATTCGAAAGGTGCCCCCAAGACTACAAGTATAGCATACATGGTATCATGATGTCTGCAAGCCCGTCGCAAGACAAGTTTAGATGCAATCGTGAAGCTCAATGCAGAATCGTCAACATGCAGCTTGCGCAATAAGTAGGAACTTCACAGTCCGACTGCATCAACACTTGCAAAGTAGTCTGTCCTTGTCGGCGTCATCGTCATCTTGCTTGTTGTGATAGGCGGCGATGACCAGAAAGGGGCGGGATCGGTGCTACACCATCGACTAGGACCATTTCAGTCATGTGCAGTTCTTCCCGCTAGTTTGCTAGAACGGACCCTTGATCAATATCACTCATTTCATGGATTGAGTGTTGCAGGGGTCGGCTGGTTGTACTATAGCCCAACTGGGCAAGGGTTGTGCTAACTGATTCGGGGGACGCAGTCTGGCTCTGTCACGGTCGCGGGGAAAATTATCCGAGACCGATGCTCCGGACAGCAAACTTTGCTGCACAACGAGTACAGGTTATGCAATCCGTATTTCTTAACGCTCAAGGTCGCCGGAACGACAGCCATGAGCAACAAGAATTGTGCAAGTTTTGTTCACTCATGAGCCGATAGAATCCGCCAGAACAGCTCCCACGGGCCATTTCTTGCACTGATGCTGCTAACGAGACCTTGAGAAAACTTGATTGACCGCCATGTGCCCTTGATGCCAAGCGAGATGACCCCCGATCGTGCACTGACAGACAAGGTGGACAGGCTTCCGTAAACACGCTCATGTTGAGTATCGCTTCGTTCCAGAATCATTCAGCACAGGCCACAGGCTGCATCACAGGCAGATGCTTTGCTCGACTGAGTTGTGATGACGACAGTGTCGCTGTTGCTGCTGCTACTGCTGCTGGTTGTGTTGCTGTTGTGGGATGATCATGGTTGTGGCAATTATGATGGTAATGTTGAACTTCTTCTTATTCTTCTTGCTGGTGCTGTTGCCGGTGCCGTTGCTGTTGCTGCTGTCGCTGTCGCTGTCGCTGTCGCTGTCGCTGTCGCTGTCGCTGTCGCTGTCGGTGGTGGTGGTGGTGGTGGTGGTGGCGGTGGCGGTGGCGGTGGCGGTGGTGGCGGCGGCGGTGGTTGTTTGTTGCTTGTTTTTCCTGCTGCTGCTGCTGCTGGAGGTGAGGGTGTTTGTGGTGGTTTTGGTGGTGGTGGTGGTGGTAGTGGTGGCGGTGGCGGTGGTGGCGGCGGCGGTGGTTGTTTGTTGCTTGTTTTTCCTGCTGCTGCTGCTGCTGGAGGTGAGGGTGTTTGTATGGTTTTGGTGGTGGTGGTGGTGGTGGTGGTGGGGGTGGCGGTGGTGGTGGGGTGGTGGTGGTGGTGGTGGTGGCGGCGTTGTCATTGTCGGTCGCTGTCGCTGTTGCTGTTGCTGCGGCTGTTGCTCTTATTGTTAGAGTCACTATCATTGTTGTTGTGGGTCTGGTTCTGGTTCGGTTGTGGTTGTGGTTGTGGTTGCTGTTGTTGTTGTTGTTGCTGCTGTAGTTGTAGTTGTAGTTGTAGTTGTAGTTGTAGTTGTAGTTGTAGTTGTAGTTGTAGTTGTAGTTGTAGTTGTAGTCGTCGTCGTAGTAGTAGTAGTAGTTGTTGTTGTTGTGCTAAAGCGGTAGCACAAGTTGTGCGCTTTTTCATTGCTCGAAATGGGGTTTTTTCAACCCCTGACGAGGTACCCCCCATCTGCATCACCAGCTTCCAGTCTGTCCGAAATGGCGACTTGTATGATCGAGATGGAGAGTGGATTCCCAGCTTCAGCTAGTCGCTGTGCAGAAGCATGTCCTCTCAGTGGAGTAACTCCCTGAGAGAACTCGAGGAGATATTCCCGGTAGATTCCAGCAAGGACATAGCAGCCGGCTTTTGGCATTTTGCCACGCTTGATTCTGCCAAGTGGAGAAACTCCCAAGGCGAAATTTTGCAACTTGATGATTCACCGAGCACATCCAAGTCAGAAAAGCGCCCAAGCTTACTCAGTGCCAAGTGATCCATTCCTCGAGCAATGAACCTGACTGCACGGGGAGAGGATTCACAAGCCATGACTTCTGAGGACAGCCTATCTCTCAGCGTGAGCCTCAGCTGCAGCATCGTCAAGACAGAAGAGCCGCATCTGTCATCCAGGCATCGCAGTTGCGAATGGTACGCCTGCAGCCTTTAGGGGCGAGGCAGCAGCAGGTGCTGTGTTTAGGCACGGCCTGCATTGTTTCGGCGATGCTCAGCACCCTGCTCTCCAGGGAAGATTGGTAAAAGAACGAGGCTCTAAAGCTCCTGCTGTCTTCAGGGACGGGGAGCTTGTCGCAGCTTTGTACCAAGTGAGTAGTCCCACACGCTCAGTAGTGGAAGTGCAAACGAGGAGGAGTAACTCCCCAAGGGACCGGGGCCTAAGTTGAGTCGTCGCGAAGCGAGGCTAACTAACCGAGACATTCGAGGACTTCTCCCGCTGCGAGTGAATGAAACGTTGTTGTTGTTGTTATGGCTGCTGCTGTGGTTGCTGTTGTTGGTGTTGTTGTTGGTGTTGTTGTTGCTGCTGTTGCTGCTGCCGTTGCTCTTGCTCTTGCTCTTGCTGTTGCTGTTGCTGTTGCTGTTGTGGCTGTTGTTGTTGCTGCTGTTGTTGTTGTTGTTGCTGCTGCTGTTGTTCTTGCTGCTGTTGCTGTTGCGCTTGGTGTGGTTGTTGTTATTGTTTTGTTATTGTTATTGTTATTGCTGTTGCTGTTGCTGTTGTTGTTGTTGCTGTTGCTGTTGCTGTTGCTGTTGCTGTTGTTGTTGTTGTTGGTGATGCTTGTTGTTGATGCTTGTTGGTGCTTGTTGGTTGTTGGTTGTTGTCGCTGTGGTTGTGGTTGTTAATGCTGTTGTTGTGCCCGCTATGAGCAGAGCCCGCTCGCTCAGCGTCCACTGAAAAGGTTGTTCTGGTTGTTGTTGCTGTTGCTGCTGCTGCTGCTGCTGTTGCTGCTGTTGCTGTTGCTGTTGAAGTGGTTGTTGTTGTTGTCGCCGTCGCCGTCGCCGTCGCCGTCGTTGCCGTTGTCATTGCGGTTGTTGTTGTTGTTGGCTTTGTGGTGGTCGTTGTTGTTGCTGTTGTTGTTGCTGCTGCTGTTGTATCTGGACCCGTGATGGCCATAATGGCAAACATGCAGATGTTGATGCCGCTCGTAGAGGTTTTCGTACTTTAAGAGGTCATGTCATACAGTCAACATGCAGATTACATGTCGGCAACATTCCTTGCTGCTCGCACTGGCTAAGGAATATCCATACGTTGCGGAATTGATGACATCTGTGCCCTACGTGCATGTACTATTGCATGCACCCTTCTTCTCTCGTTAATACGCATTCTGTTTAACATATCTGGCCCACATCTGCTGTCAAACCGTATACTTCAAGGTAACCCAGCTTCTCCTTTCCCATGCACGGTGCCTTGGGATTGATCGCAACCTGCTTCCGGGCCGTCTGGCCTGTGGGCAGCTGCAGGGAGGGTGCGCCGAACAAGGCTCGATAAGGCATGCATGCGCACAAGCAGCGCCCGACATCGCATGCAACCATATGCTTCCTATGCCAGTTCTGCTCGTGTCTGCTGTATGCTGTCTTGGCAAGACTGACAGCACGAAAATGCGGCAGCCACAACCCTGAACCTGCTGTAAGTTGTTTGTAACCTAAGGCTGCAGCCCCAGCGCATTCGATTCGGCGAGGAAGGCTGATCCTTCGTCTAGCAAAGACGAGTGTGTTACTTTTGTTGCTCGCGGCATTGTAACTGCAATTGTAATTGGCATTGGTATTTGTATTGGTGTTGTTGTTTTGTTCTCCTTGTCTCTGCTGCTGCGGTTTGTCACGATTGATCTTGGGGTTGCGGTTATTCTTCCAGCAATGGTCCGAGTTGTTGTTGCTGCTACCTTAATCGTCGCAGGTGCAGCAGCAGCTGTAGCAGCAGCAGCAGCAGCAGCAGCAGCAGCAGCACCAGCACCAGCACCAGCACCAGTAGCAGCAGCAGCACCAGTAGCAGCAGCAGCAGCAGCAGCAGGTCGTAGCGGTAGCCGTAGCGAGAAAACGAAGTAGCAGTGGTGGTAGTGGTAGTGGTGGTGGTAGTGGTAGTGGTGGTGGTGGTGGTGGTGGTGTTGGTGGTGGTGGTGGTGGTTGCAGGCGCAGAGGCATAGGCACTGGAGTAGGAGTAGGATATCGAGCAG